TGCAAGAATGTCTTCCTGGCTTCCATCAACCCAAGATCCCGGCACGGAAAAGCGGAAAGACAGGACACAGGAAGGCTGGATCCAAGCCTGGAAAGCAGCTCGCTATTACGAGAGGCTTGGAATTGGTCGAGCTGTCGTTCAGAAATCTGACGACGCTGGCGAGCCTCTTGCCGGGATGCTCAAGTAAGCCAACGACATTGTCTTCCGAGTTCAGCCCTAATGCCTTATAAGTCGGTTGCTGACACCTTAATCGCAGACTTGTCGTTGTCGGCGATGCCATCACCGAGAAAGCGGCTGCGCTCAACTCGTACACCGCCGGGGCGTTGCTCAAGGAAGATGATTACATTCCAACTGTGTTCGGAAGTGGTACTGTGACTTTCAGGTAACTAAGAACACCCATCATGATCTTTGAAACCGTGTCTGATTCTTGATCTGACCAACATGTTCAGAATCGGCGACCATTGCTATGGGGCTCAACTCTTGGACACCACAGGGACGGAAGTGTACGATCACCTACGACCGCTCATATATCGGCAAACCGATGCCTTTCTTGTCTTTACTCGCGTTGGCACCGAGTCGACTTACCGGAACGCCGAGAAGCTGTGGATTCCAGAGATCAGACAGCACTGTCCCGGCGTCCCCATCATCATGGCAGGAATTACCACGAATGGCAACGATGACTCTTCTAGAGAATCCGAACCCCAGGATTGGCACAGCGCCGAGATGAGGACTCTTACTCGCTCGTATCACGAATTATTGGGGCGAACTCTGGCGACGAAGTTCGGGGCAGTTTGCTACACGGAGTGTGCGATATTTGATCCAGATCAGCTGGGCGGCGTTTTTGAAAAGGTTCGTCCCGTGCCCCTGACCCTGGAGCGTTACAGTGGGTAGCAACGCAAGAGCAAAGCCCGAGCAGAAGCTTACATGGTCGTGCAGGCCATCTTGGCAGCTGTTGAGCCGCTGGAGCGGAAACGCAGAGCTCGTTCATCTCGGTTTCGATCATCAAGCTTCCAGTTCCTGAGAACCGTCAGCGTCAGGGAGACCAAAGTGGAATAGCCCTGACTACCTCAAGGTTAGGTAGGTAGGCGCTGGATTTCATAAGGTACGGCACCTAGGTAGGTAGGTATCATCTGTTGGACACAGTAGGCCATTTCTCGTACCGATGCAACAAAATAGGTATCATTGGATATTTCACACTGGCAAGCTCAAGTCTCAACACCAGCTGCAGCCGTTCGTTGACCAGTATTCCTACCTATTATATTACCCCCACGATCTCACACCCAACCAAGCTGAGTCGAGTCGCCGCCCAAACGCCCCCGTCTATCCAAATTCCAAAACAACCGTCTTGCAAAGCCTTGATGACCGTACTGACCCTAACCCGTAACCAAAATTGAACCCCAAACTCCTTTTTCCCCACGACTCCAAAAAAGAAGCTCCACGACTCCAAAAAGGCGAATCACTCCCCCATCCCGCCGCCAACATCGCCAAACTCGCCGGCGTGCCACCCGACCTTTTGCTGCGTGCCGGACCTCTTGCCCTTGGCCCCGCCCTGCCACTTGCTCTGGCGCGCCTTGACGGCGAGGCAGGCCTCGCAGCGGTGGGCCTTGTTGGGCTTGCCGTCCTTGCCCATGTCCAGGGCGCCGCAGTACTTGTGCAGGACCTCGTCTGTCCACTCTGGAGGTAGGGTATGTCGGAGTCAGCTGGTCATGGATTTTGATGTATTTTGTTACGTATGTAAGGTGGGTAAGGTACGGCGAAGACAAGAGGAGGAACGGGGGTCGACTTACGGACTGGCTTCGCTGCCGCGGTTGTGGAGGGGTTTTTGACATATGAGCGACCCATTGTGAATGTGGGTTAATTGCGAATATGCAGGTTTGAGCGTTGTATGTGTAAGTCGCTTTGAATGGCGGTATTGAAAACTGGTTCATCAAGACTGAAGACTGAAGTTTTGTCGATTTGAGAAGTTGAGAGCTGCCACTGCCCAAGGATTCATTTTTATAGGATGAGTGCCGGTTGGAGTGATTGTATGAGGTGGTAAATGAGGTATTTACTCGGTACGTAAGATCACAGTCCATCCGGATACGCACGGACATCGTTTTGTGCGCGGTGTGCGCGGAATACAGGGTGCAAGCACGTGGGACCCTGCATTTAGCCCCTGTTTGCCACTCAGAAAGCGCCTGTGCGTGATCCGGATGGACAGAGACTTTTCGGCTGACCTCACGAAACGTTTCCTTTTTACCTTGCATGAACTTACGTCCAAATGCCACAGATTCGGGGACCTTGCTCTCTTACGGTTCGCGTGTTTTTCTGTACGCTGCGCTCTTTGCAAGATCCCTACGATTGATGAGTGATATTTTGCAGCTGAGTCCCCCATACGTGACCGATGGCGTCACAGCCTCAGAGGCAGATCTGCTCAGAGGTAGCTGCAACTCCATTCAGTTGCGGCCGGCGCCCTAATTACGGTCTACCTGCACACCCGGTCCCTGGCTCAACCCGACGGGAGGGTGGGCAGACGTTGCCAAGAAGAATTGATTGGTACGTGCATCGATGAATGGCTGTCTAATAGTACCAGCAGAGTTCTGGCAGAGCAAATGAAGAGACGGAATCGTTGTTTCTGCACAATGCATGGTGGTGGTGCATGGTGTGGCGGTGCACTCCGAGGGACGAGGTCTGGAGCCTCGCCTCGGAGGCTTTTCCAGACTTCAAATACAGCTCACCTGCCATCACTGAGCGACGAGACACACTTTCCCTGGATTCAAACTTGGAAGCGTCGACTGACTCAACTGGTCGACTCCACCATGAATAAGCGATCACGGCGATCAGTCCGATCTGACTACAAGCCATGGAAACCTCGTCGCTTTTTCGGCATATCAACCCAGCCTGGCGAAGAAGCGACATTCCCAGTAACAGTAGGACTCGGCCAGGTGGCCCCCCCGCCACTGGGAAACACAACTCAGACACAGCCGTCGCAGGGTCATCTTGGCGGTATTCGGCCCTCGCCATCCATTGAACCGCCCCAAGTAGCCCAATACTTGTCTACCCCGTCACCGTGTTACAACAACGAAAGTCACAAATACAGCACGCAAGCCTCTAATAACTCAGATCTTCAGACGGACGTATATAGGACGGGAAGCATTTTGCAGCCCGTCCCTGAGACGGGACCGGTTGCTCCCGCAAGCAGTGAGGATACGCCAGCTATTAGCTCAGAACCGACACAAAGTCAAACATCGAGTCCATCGTCCGCCGACCATCGAGACGACCTGTTCTATGGGTTGGACCTAGCGCCGCCCATTCAACGTGCAATTGCCCGTCGCCCCGTCGCGATGCATGATCCGGCCGTCTTAGAGCTGACTAACAACATGAGAACTACGCCATTCCAGCCAGAATAGTATACAAATAGCAGCATCCAAGGAAGCATCAGAAACTTAGCGCCACCGGTTTCCACCGACCCGATGACCTCGCCGCTCGCGGACACGGCGCCGGCCCCCTTCGCAGTACCGGGCCCTGCCGAGAAGCAATCCGGCACCGAGACTACAGCCGCCGCTGAGGAACCCACCGAAAGCCAGGGCTTCTACGACATAGCCAAGCCGACGTGCTCGCTGAATTTGGTATGTTACCGGTCTGGCGCCAAGGGCTGCGACCTGGTGCAGGTCCAGTGCGTTCGGCGGAGCATGTTCTCGAGCGACGCCAGCTTTGCAACCGTCGTCGAGACACACCCGCGCCTCGTTCACGCCGACGACCAGTTCTTCCGGGAAATCTGCCGGCTGTACACGACTGAGATGTGCGGTTTCTTCCGGCGGTACTTTTCACTCAAGACGCTGCGCGCTTTCCGCGTGCTCACTGTAAGGGACTACTTCTATACCTAGCACTCTCACTGGCAGCCCAAGTCGGGCGTAATAATATGACTGGCATTGACATCTGATAACGGGAAGTTCACCCCGACCACGCGGCCCACCGTCGTCCCGTTCGACGACTTCGTCCTCCAGGAGATGATGTATGCCTACCGCCACCCGGACCGGCTCTCGAGCACCCACGACTGGGTCGACTGGGTCTTCTGGCTGCGGCAGAAGGACAGACGCCACGCACTCGAGTTTGTCGAGGGTTGAAACACCACCCGCATTGCCGTCTCGGGCTCAGTCCCATGGCTCGCCTCGTGTCTCGTGGGCATCATATGGTCGGCCAGGGGTGGTGATCCCCAGACCGCATTCACCGTGGCCTCGTTCATGCTGACGTCTTCTTCGAGTAAGTCATTGTGTCTTCCTTTTTCCGAAGTGTTGACTTGACTGGTTCACCCTCTAGTTATATTGGCCCTACTTGCAATCATCAGCAGCATTGAATCCTCGAGCGGGCTAAGGGGGTAAGGCAGGGTATGTAATGCTGACTGGAAGGTAACTGTGATTGTGAATTTCAACCAGCCAGCCGTTCTCCGGAGTCAGGGATAGAGTTCATGATATGTGTTATTGCTCGCTTGAATATTGCGTACCTTATTGATCTTCACGGTACCTTGTTTACCAAGAAGGACCCCAATCGCAATACATCAGCCGTTCGTGAACATGAACTTGCTGTGATCATGATGACCGTAGTATAGCTGCTATTGTACCCAAGACTTGAATCGGAACGTTTACTGTCGTGTAACAATACCAGCGAGTCTTTCGGTCACCAAGGTTTGATGCATCGTATGCAAATAGCTAAGACCCGGGACTTACAGTAATACCCAGGCTACCATGATTATACCAATAACGAGCTAGTTCAGTGAGCATCCACAAATATACGTTGATGTTCAGCGCTTGTTAGTCGTACCACAGTTGGTTCAGACATCGTGCTGATCACTTACTCCATTCTGGCCAAGGGGCAGCCATCCATGATCACCAGTCAATGTTGACTGTGACCGTGCTGATCCAGAGAGAGAGATACATACTGATAGGGTCACAGGGGCCCGCCGCCCAGAGAACGTTATCAAAAAAACCACAGTCGCATTCCGTGGAGTTAACAGTGATAGGTACCTAGGTAAGGTAGGGTACCTTGGGTATCTAAATCCTTCCGAGTTCAAAACTCGAAAACTATTCAAGACCAATATCCAACCATGACTTCCTTTTTTCAACAACCCAACCAGATTCCCACCCATGACATGAAACCCAGGGTATCTTCATTTCAAGCCTCCCAACTCCCCTTCCTTCCTTTCATCCACCGATCACATCCTCCTCCAAGCCCAACATAACCACAATCCGTTACCCCTCACACAACTCCACCAAAGTAAGGTAATATACCCCAGACAGGGAATCCATCCCCCAGACAGGGAATCCATCCCCCAGGCATGGAACCACCAACCACAGGAATCACCAACCCGTCTGCGACTGCGAGAACCCCATCACAGATCCTCACAAGCCGCCCCCTTCGCAATCCCCTTCGCCATCCCCCTCGCCATCCCCTCCGCCATCCCCTCCGCCATCCCCTCCGCCACCCCCCTCCTCCCACCCCCAAGACATCCAAGTCTCCCGTGGCACAAGCTTCGCCGGTGCCCGGAGCGCCCTGCGCCGCATATATCGCACGGCAGGGGGTTCCAGCTGCTGCCGCTCCGCCTCCACTGGCTGGGCCTGGTTCTGCGGCGGCGGCGGCTGGGGCTGGGCGAAGCCTCCGCGGCGGCGGCGGAGGCGGCAGTCGGCGCAGCAGGTCGAATGGCGGCCGCGGCCGCGGACCGGCGTGACGACGTTGGCACGCCACGACCTGGGCTTGTCGGCGCCCGAGGAGGGAAAGACGGGGAGGCGGGGCGGGGCGGGGGCTGCGGCGCGGCGGTTTTGGAGATCCGCTATGACGGACTCGTTGTAGGTCTGTGTTTTTTTTTTTGTCAGTCAAGATCATGAATGGGAGCACGCGGGCAGGGAATTGGGGGGTATGGGTTGGACGTATGTGACAAAAAAGAAGGGGGCTGGGCGGGGAGGAAGGGGGGAGGACATACGGGTGGAGGGCCTGTCGGCGGGCAGGAGTATGCCGGCGGTGGGCACGCGGCGTCTATGGCCCACCGTGCGTAGGGGGGAGGGGGCTCGGAGTCCGAGTCCGGACTGGGCAGAGGTTGCCAGGCTTGAGCTGGCGGCGCGGCGGTGTAGAAGTCCGCGTTGATGGCCCTGTCGATGCTCGTGAGGACCCTGGTGATGCGGCCGAAGAAGGCAGCGGCGCGGGAGGTGAGGTGAGTCTGGTGGAGGTTAGCATCATGTTGCTGAACATGGCGGTAAGGGGGCCGGACGGCAACAAGTGGGCTCACCATTGTTGCTGAGATGGCGGGAAGCTGGAAAGGACGAGAGGATGACGGTTCTTTATACTCTGACAAGCCTGGCAAGACACTGCAGAGGAATCAGCAATCATACGCAACATGTGCGTGAGGATTCATGCTGTTGCACGCGCATGAGTGCATTTCGACGGGAGTGCGCTTCGACGTGGAGGTTCAGGCGCACCTCATACCCATGTCACGGTTGTGGGCATGTCCTGCAGATGAAGCCGAGTGTACGCCATCGGACACCAGGTCAAGCACCAGGGTACCTAGTTGTTGAGCACTCGCATTGATAATCTGTCCTACCCATATGCCGACGTCAGGGTATCTGCATTATTCGGTCATTATACACATAATCTCACGTAAAAAATAGCTCCCACATCAGCACCCTTCCACATTTTCACGCCATCTCGACATCCTCGCCCTCGACCACCACAACAACGTATCGTCTGCAGGTCGCTTCCGCAAAGGCGCCTTCGTCCGTACCGGCCGCCTCGGTGACATGGACGGCGTGGTTGTCCGTGCTGTCGGAAACCATCTGCGCGGTGCCGTCCAGGGCGTTGATAGCAACCACATGGTGGCGGTGACGCCGCAGCAGCTCTGGCGGCGCGGAGCCCTCGGGGAACACCACGACGCGACGTTTCTGCCTCTGGCTTTCGGCGGCGCGCTTGCTCTCGCGCTCCTCGTCAATGACGTAGAGGCTGCCTGCAGCCAGGAGCGGGTCCGTCGAGGGCGCATGGGGCGCCTCGCGCAGGACGTATCGTCGCTCCGCGCTCGCCTTGCCCGCACTGTCGCTGGTCCCTGGCCGCTGTCCATGCGCCGGCATCTCGAGCGCGGCTTGGAATCGGACCGAGGATGCAGACGAGTCCATGCTGCCCGGAGCTGTTGCAGTGTTGACCGAGAAGTTGTCGACGCTGAAATGTCGGCGGTGGGTGCGGTTCTTGCGAGCATGCGGGGCTGCAGCATCCGAGTTCTGTCTCTCTGCGCCGAAGGCTTCGTTTTTGCTGCCGTAAGTCTCAGAGTGATCATAGAAGCCCCGATCGGATTGCTCGTTCGCCAACAAGGGGGCGGATTCCTCGTCAGAGCTGGCTTCGTGGTGGCGGGGGCCGAAGCCTGGATATGGATTTCCAATCCATCCTTGCAAGAACAGCAGTGATCCGACGCTAGTGGCTGCGGCAACGCCTCCCAACATACTGTTCATTGCCTGCCAACCCCACAGTGAACTGACCGCGCCAGCAAGGAGCGGGCCAACCATACTACCCAACGCGTTGGCAATGTCTGGAAGATTGGCGGCCTGAGCTGTGGCGCTCCCCGGGTTGCTGGCAGAAGAGCTCACGGCATTCGCAACCTCGGCCACCAAGGGGTCGCCGGACAGACCTGTGGCCAGGGACAGACCGCTGAGGGTGAGGAGGAAACCTTGCTGAACCATCGTGGTATTTCCCGTAAGCTGGCCCAACTGCAGAAGGGAAGGAACCCAGGCCAGGAACCCGATAGCAGCGAGGAACCGGGTTGATCGAGGTACGCGAGAGGTCAAGAGGCCAGCCACTGGCCCGATAATGGCGGCCGGGGCAGACAGCGGGACGAAAAGGGACCCAGTTGCGAAGACGGACCAGTTGAAATGGCGCTGGACAAAGAGCGGAAGAACGCTGTGGAGGGCCGAGGTAAGCAAACTCATGACAAGGTACCCAAACAGGGCGACCAGCAGGCGGGGACTCAAGGTTCCGAATGTTGTTGATGTTGTTGCCGCGGCAGGGGCATCGAGCTCGGCCAAGCTCAATGAGGAAGGCGCGGCAGCGGAACTTGACCTCTGGGGTTCAGTGCTGCTGCCGTCGATCCTTGACGGAATGGTCCCGTAGCCTCCCCGTGGTGATTCCGGTAGAAGACGCACATCCATGAGCTGCGGCTCTTGCTGCCCCCCTGTATCGCGCTGGGGCGATTCTGGACGACTGGCTGAACTGACTGGTGCGGCGGGAGCCAATATGGTAAAGGTGAGCAGGCCCAGCACTACGTTCAAGCCAATGAGGGCATAGGCGCAGAAGAAGACGGCATCGATACTGTAATGGTCGTTTAACAAACCGGCGATGGTCGGGGCTGTTGCCATGGCCACGCTCTGGATAAAGGCGGGCGTGAGCAACGTTGCCCTTATGTTGGCTGTGCTGGCCCGGATTCCCGTGTATGCCTTGGTAATTGCAGCTGCCCCAAGACCTTGAAGAGACCTCGCAATAATCAAAAAAGGCAAGCCGGAGGAAAGCTGCAGGAGGGCGAAAGCAGCAGCAGCGCAAGTGAGTCCGGCCATGAACACGCCATAGTTTGCAAAGCCTCGGTTCGCGAAGAACGGGATCAAGGCTTCCCCGAAGCTGCCGTGTCAGTGTCAAGTCTCTGAGTGGTGGGTGAAGCGAAACTTACGGGTTGCTGCCGATAGTGCACCCCCATAAGCGGAAACAAGCACAGAGATCCATATTTGTACTGAAGAGATAACTGTGAGCATACTTTGCGTGTATTACGTTCTCAGCTCCGCGTACCTTGTCCATGGGGCACAAGTGCTCGGTCCTGGAGCATGGTGGGAAGCAAGGGGACGACCTAGGGCAAGTTAGCGAGGACAAAAGGCACCCGGCTGGTCAGGGCAACATACGAGACCGGAGAGGAAGATATTCTGTGAGAAGAAACAAACTTCAGCAACGAAGCAAGGACACTAGATGCATCGGGGGTGCTGGCTAATTACCGAGAAATAGGCAGCCTTGACTAGCAAGGCGAGGAACGCCATGTTGACCGGCTGTTGACTTTGAGGCGCCAAAGAAGTAGGAAGCGTGTATCGCGGACGCCCTGGGCTAGCTACCATCGTCGTGGCACGCGAGCTGGGCCGTGTGCTGGGGCTTGCGGGAGTCTGGCTCAGATGCGGCCCAGAGCATGAGCTGCCGGCGACAAGTGGCGCCCGGAACGCGTCGGTGCTGAGTCCCAGCGGGGGTTCAGGGACAACATCTCCAAAATTTGCTGCGTCTGCTATCTGGGGAATCTCTGCGTCTCCTGGAAGTTTTCCCATTCGCGTGTTCTGGGTGCCCAACGCGTCTGGCGTTTCGGTGTGTTGTCGTGATTCTCGCGTCGTATCCGAACGGACAACATGAACGGTACTTTGGCGCTCAGGCTCTCCCAGCTGGAACCCCCGCCGGCGGGTTGGTAACAGTGGGTTTTGAGGCAACGGAATAAAATCACCTAAGAACATCTTGGTAAAATTTTGAGCAAGAGTGCTCCCAGAGATCTCTGGCCTGGCAGAGAGACTGCCTCTTCAAAACAGAGAGGGGTGTGAAAAAGTCGTGGGTCGTTGTTGCCATCTTCGAGTTGTCTTTCGAGATTTGGCCGTTGCTGCGAAGTTTTGGCCAACCACAAGCCTGACTCCCCGCCTCCGCGGCCCACAGCCGGCACACCCTGCTCGCCGTGTCATTGGCGGATTGGGTGCCAAGAGCCCTAGCTCCCGAGCAGGCCCACCAAACTGTCACCCAAGGTTGCAAGCTCAAGCTCAAGCAAGGATCAAGCTCTTTCGACACCGAGCAGCAACCTCAACATCACGGCACTAACCGTTGCCCAACCCGCCTCAACTCGCCCAAGTTGGACAGGATTCTCTCTAAAGACAATATTTGCATTTCTGGTGTTGAGCTATCGTTTGCCAGTGGGTCACTCTAAATCGGATCGCAAGCTGGCACAGCAAACATGGCGGGATGTAACTCTGACCAGCCCTTTCTCCTCCTCTAGCCGCCATCTCCTCAGCGGTGTGCCGCGATGATGATCTCGGCCGCCCGCTCGGCAATTCCGTAGACTGCGGTCTGCGGATGAGCCGAGATCTCCACCGGGATGATACTCGCGTCAGCCACCATCAGGTTCGCCGTCCCGTACACGATCAGCTTCGAGTCCACCACCCCGCCGCGCTTCCTCGGCAGCATAGCCGCGGTGCCCATCGGGTGGAAGATGGTCAGCGTGGTGTTCCGAATATACTCCTTCCAGTCCTCGTCCGTCTGCACCAGCCCCTCGCCGGGCTCGTACTCGTCCACCCACACCGACCGCAGCGGCTCGGCCCTCGCAATCCGCCGGCAAAACTTGAGAATCTCCACCAACGCCTCCATGTCATACTCATTGTCCACAAACCGGGGGTCGATCACGGGCTTCCCGCCGGGGTTTGCCGGGTCGACGTGCACGCTGCCCCGGCTCAGCGGGTGCATCAAGCCCGCAATCAGCGTAAAGAAACCCTTGCCGTACAGCTCGGACCCGGTCGGAGGATAGCCCTTCACGCCGGTATACCCGTCCGAGAAGATGACCTCGACCTGCGGCACGCTCGCATCGCCCAGCATCTCTAACTGCTTCCGCAACCCCACATCCGCCGACCCGCCCACCGCCGCCCTCGCCAGCCCCACCAACGCCGCATCATCCCCGCCGGGCACCACGCGCTTCCAGTCGGCAAACACGTACCCGCCGCCCGTGTCGTCGTAGAACCCGGGCTCGCCGCGCAGCCGCTTGGCCCACTCCTCGGCGGCGAAGGTGGCGTTGGTGTTGATCTCGTCGCCCGCCACCAAATCGTCGCGCAGCCGGTACGACGCGTGCACGCGCAGGTGGTCCTGGTACCTCTCGCCCACGCCCGGCAGGTCCACGCGCTGGGGGATTCCCGCGGCCGCCAGCACCCCCCTCTGCCCGATGCCCGACAGCTCGAGCAGCTGGGGGGACTGGATGGCGCCCGCGCAGAGGACGACGCCGCGGCGCGCCGCGACCGTCGTGCCGTCGGCGAGCACGACGCCCGTCGCACGCTGCAGGCGGCGGATCGGGAGCGGGGAAGACGGGCGCAGGGTAATCTTGGCGACCTGGGTTTTGGTCAGCACGGCCAGGTTGGGCCCGGCCAGCGGGAGGTAGGCGCTGGCGCTGTAGGAGCGGTTGTACGAGGCCGGGGCGATGTTTCCGGGCTGGTACATGACCCCGATCGGGTCGCCCTGGAGCGAGTCCGGGTTGAAGGGGAT